CGGCTAATTTTGTTTTCGTATTTTTAGTAGAGACGGGGTTTCACCATGTTGGCCAGGATGGTCTCGATCTCCTGACCTTGTAATCCGCCCACCTCAGCCTCCCAAAGTGCTGGGATTACAGGTGTGAGCCACCGCGTCTAGCCAAGCATCAGCATTTTAAATGATAATTGCTAATAGCTGTATTAATTCTATGTAGTGATCTTTTTACTGTGACCACTTTTATTAAGCGAAGTAAGTATTAAGCAAAATAAGAATGTATTAAGCAAAATAAGAATTTATTAAGCAAAATAGCCTTAGAAATGTGAATTAAAACATAATTATTTGAATGAAATAAATGCCATGAATGCTTAACCTTCCATATAGCCACTGCCAGCACCCAGAAACCCAGCATTTCCTCTACTAAAACTATGGAAAACATTTGCACTGCTGTAGAATTGCAAAATCTTTAACTTTGGAATGGAAACATTCAGATGATTTGACCCAAAGATTGGCCTTTAGGTTTTATGAGCCTAGGTAGATGCTGCAATTATTTGGTTGTTGCTCCAAACTTTGCAAAGACTCCTAAAAGAGATGGTGGAAGTGAAAATTCTGGGTCTCCAAGAAAATTTCTGCACAGCCTATCACCCCTTGACACATCTTCCCTGTGTCCCTGGGGGCCCCTGATGCTTTCTCCTTGAGTGATAGTAACACGCAGAGCATTTATACAAAACTCCCTCTTTGGACATGCCTCACGTCAACCTGTCACAGGCCTGGCTGCAGCGAGCACCTCCCTATGACGCAGAATGCTTCTTGGGAATTATCTTACTCCTCTGGATAGTGAGTCCATCAGTGTTTTGCTTCTTGTCCCAATACTACCGTGACCCTCTCTGATCGCACAGAAATCACTGTCTATCACATATATCCTGTTAAGCACTGAAGACCCTATTGAAATTAGAGTTCTACAGATGCCAAAAGCTGTACTTTCCATCAGGCATATGGCAAGCTTACTGCCTCAATGCACATCTGGGGCCACTGGAACTCCTTCCTCTCTGGTTCCAGCCTTAAGGTGGAGAACTCCATGTAGCTTCTTGTCCTTTTCCCTCAGCTATCTTTGCTTCACAAAGTTTTAGCCCAAAGCAAGAGCGCAATCCCAAAGCCACTGAGAAATGAACTTTCTGCTACCTGGAAGCGTTAAGTGAGTAAATCAGCTTTTCCGCACCCTCATTCCTAGGGGCACACACCTCAAAAGTTACTAGGCTGGAGAGACACTACCTTCCAGTGACCCACTCATCTCCCAGCCACGGAGAAGAGGGAAGACCAAAAAGGGAGAATGAGAAAGAGAATGAGAGGGATGGTCAGCTATGAGGGGTGGGGGCAAGTAGCCTGCAAATGTTGATGCCTCCCTTCCCATCTTGCCACACAGTCTTTTTCTTTTGTAGCACAGCCTCCGTTAAGAACTCCTCGGCTAAGAATGAAGATGTAGGCACCTTTACCCCCAGAGCCAGTTCCTTAATTGGCTGGCTTTCTGAGATGCAGACCACCCTAGAATCTCATCTAGGTTCACTAGAAGTTGGTTAAATCTTCCTTTCTATGTCTTTCCCTTCATTCCATCCCCCAAACCCACCAAACATTAAGGGAGAGCTCCCTTTGGATGTCTGGGGGTTAAACCTAGCTCGTTTTTCTAGGAGACCCAGAAGTGACTTCTCAGTATAGTTATCACTGTGTCTGCCTCTGTTACACTGTGTTGCTTTGCTTAAACAGAAATGAAGACCTGGACATCTGACTGTGCCTTTATATTCTGAGTGGGGTGCTGCCCCATGCAAAAAAATCCAGAGAGGTAGTGAGGTGTCGGAGCTAAACACTTGGTGCTGGGTTTTGCTGATGCTGGTGTAATGTGACACAGTACAATTACATGCTAAATGTTGCATTTTCTCTATATAACATCTATTTTTCCTGATACCGTGCCTTTGCCATTTTGATAATGCTATTTTGATTGAGTGAATTTTATTTCCTTTGTATTCCCATAGTGAACAATATATTAAGGTAGATGCCCTTTATCTGGGTACTCCTGGTAGATTAGCTGTTACATCTCCCTTCCCTTTTTCACAGTGAACCTGTATTCAGTTATTCTCACTCTGAGAACTCTCCAATAACAATTTCTTTTCCACAATTAACAACACAGCTGTTACACCTCCCTTCCTTTTTTTCACAGTGAACCTGTATTCAGTTATTCTCACTCTGAGAACTCTCCAATAACAATTTCTTTTCCACAATTAACAACACAGCTGTTACACCTCTCTTCCTTTTTTCACAGTGAACCTGTATTCAGTTATTGTCACTCTGAGAACTCTCCAATAACAATTTCTTTTCCACAGTTAACAACAAAGCTCTGTTTTTAAATGAAGAGATTAAGTTCTTTTTAAATGCCTAAAGGCACATTCTGACAAGTTTTCTACTTCTTTAGCTTTTTTGATTTATGATATATGCAAAGCAAATAAATTTAATAAAGCCTATTCTGTAGTCCATCTCTGTCTGTGACATGGGACGGGAAATCAAATAGGATATTGACAATTCAGAGCTGAAGGTTGTCAGAGAAGTAAAATGTTCTTAAGAGGTGGTGCTGAGAATAAAGGGAGTCCACGCAGGTGTGCCTGACCAAGCTGATGGCTTTCAGGTGCGCACTGATATTTGGTATGGGGGAGAAGGGCCATTGAAGAGGTTTTGGGTTTGAACACCTGGAGAATAAAGAGGGGGTGTGGTTGGGGTGGGGAGCAGAAGAGACAAGGTGATTGGTGGTTGCACTCTAGCCTGCGTCAGGGACAAAGTCCAAGTCCTATAGCAAGATGGGCTACTGGAACAAGCACTTTTCAGAAGCAAAGGGCCCTACTGTGCTCAGGTAACAAAGTGGCATGGAGAGAGAAAGGGAAAGGGGTTATAGGCCAGCTATTGACCCTGGTTCATCTGTAACATGTTCAGGGTTTAGAACAAGAGTTCAACTTGGGATCTGCATACCATATGTCTAAGTATTTGAAATATTTAAATAAACAAATATAGCATGTTTTATTTAATGGTTTATCTCCTTCCATGACAAATGTACATTCATAATGACCTCAAAGGCCAGGTTGGGTTCTAGAATTCTCAGCCTCCTGTAAGTCCTGCCCCAGTGATGTGGGAAGAACTACTCCCCTTCCCCCTCCCGCTTTAGAAATATTTCACACCTACACAAAATTGTAGAAAACATTACTATAAACATCCATGCATCTACTATTCAGCTTAAGAAATGTAACATTACAAATATAGTTGATACCTGCTGTGGAGCCTTCTCTACTAGAATGCCCCTCCCTTTCTTTCCCTGAGAGGTAACTACCATCTCAAATGTACTTGTCTTTCTGTATGCTACACTTGTATGCATCTCTTACATGCACACCTTTTAGTCTCTCTATATGTACCCACAATCAATTTATGGTGATCATTTGTATGTTTTCTTCGAAGTCATACACATGGTATCATGTTTGTATCCTTTTGGACCCAACTTTTTTCTTTATGCATTTTTCCCCCTAGGCCTCAGCCCCTGTGAATTCTAGTCTCCTCCCCAGCCCATCCCTTGCTGTCCCTTTCAGTTTACCTGAAACAGCCCCGAGCCAGTGAATTAACCCTGGCTCTACAGGAGGTGCTGAACTTCTTCCTCTGTTGCCTGAAACCAGTGGTTCTCAAACCTTAGTGTTCATCAGAAGTCCCTAGGGGGCTTGTTAAAACACAGATTGCTGACTCCACCCTAGATTTTCAGATTCCATAGGTCTTGGGTGGAGTCTGAGAATTCCCAGGTAATGCTGATGACGCTGCTTGGGGGCCAAACTTTGAGAACCACTGCTCCAAATCAAAGTCTGGGCCCAAGCTCAGCAATACCATGTGGCTTCTAGGCAACCTGGGCCATCCATGAAGTTTTCTTCAAAACCGTGCTCTAGAGCAGTATTGTCCAATAGACATATAATGTGATCTACATGGGTAATTCTAAATGTTCTAGTAGCCACATTAGAAAATAAAAAGAAACCAACAAAAACTTTAATATTTCATTTTAATTCAAGTATTATCATCTCAACATGTAATCAGTATGAAAATCATTAGTAAGATATGCAATATTATTTTCACACTTACAGACATATTAATAAGACTAGCCATATTACAAGCGCTCAGCGGCCACAACGTTACTAGTGACTAAGGTAGTAGACAGCACAGCTCTAAAGACTTGAGCCCCATCTCTCTCTTTTCAAAAATGGTTTTAAACTTGACATTTTAATTGACTTTTGGCTGCAGTAAAAGAATTTAAAACAATCTTACCAAATGGTGGAAAGTAATATCTTTCAGTGAAGGTATGGTGGGCCAAAACAAAGAGGTAAAAGAGAGATTTGAGTCAGAATTATTTATTGAAAAATCTCCCCATGTTTCAATTTATTCATTTAAAACAAACTCTTACTTTTAACTTGAACAAACACTGTCAAATATATTTGTGAAAGATAAAAGTTAGATGTCACTAGATACCAGGTTTGAGGTAAAGAACTTCGGAATGATATGTGTTAAAATTCTCGCAGGCATCTGAATAAAATAAAATAAAAACAATGAACAAGAGAGTCTTCTTTCTTCATCTTCTTACTATTCTTCCCAACTACAGAATGAAATGAGAAAAAAATAAATAATGGTACATTAAGCAGCACCAGTGACTTTCTAAATAGAAGAAAATGGCCAGCTCTGTGTATATCTGCAAGATTTGTGTGCTATATCTTAAACAAGCAGAGAAGAACACCTTTTCCTTTTGTAACTCGCAAGCTTAGATATCAGGGTGCTTGTGGAACTGATGGTTCCAGTCAAATGATCACACCAACCTTGTCTCCCTAGCACCAGAAAAGCTTGTTGTTGTTATTTTTACATGAGAGGCAATTCTGGGATTTAAATAAATCTCTCGAGCTTTAACAGCCTGTGCTAGTTCCACAAATGATACTCCCTTACCCTCCCAGATCCTTGGTTTCCATATCTACCATATGAGAAAGAAGCTGTTATGAAATATACAGCTGTGAAAATGCAAAAAAAAAAAAGAAAAAGAAAAAATATTAACCATTTAAATATACTCAAAGACAGATATGCCTTAAGACTTAATTACACACATTCTTTTCATTTGTCACATAAAATACAAAGATATATAGCTAAACAAATATTTAGGTATTAGTCATTAAATGTGGTCCTACTTGAAATTCTTAGCTTTTTGCCATTTGTAAGTAGTCACTTTGTAAAATGCATTGAGTTGTCTCCTAGTTACTATGGGAGCCTGCATTTCTGTGGCTAAGTAATGAAGGCCCAACTAATGTGTGGCCCAACAAAGTTAGATGCTGCGTCTGGCAACTGTTTTCTACACAAATATTGGTCTTGGTAGTAGGTCTGATACATTTGACACTTGTTAGTAGTCCTGCAGCTAGAGGACAAAAGACCTCAACATGAACAAATGAGTAGCCATGAAGTATATTTCAGAACACACTGCAGTTCATATTACTAGGTACATGAATATTCTAGTAATATTTTACGTAAGCTAAATTGAATTTTTAAACTACTTTTAAACATTTTCTTAATTAATTTACTGGGATTTTTTTTTTAAATAAAACTGTCAGTAACAGGTAAATGCCAGGAATAGTTGAGTGATCCTCAAAGCTATACACAGATACCTGGATTTTCTCAGCTTCCCCTCTGCTGCGTCTAGGTCCCTTTGGAGTTCTTCACCTTGTTTTTCTCATCCTTCTCTTTTTCTTGTTCTTTCTCTTCCTCGCCTGCAGAATCCTGGGCCTTTTCATCCCACTTTTCATGCTGATATTTAGTGACTTCTTTAGTGGAGAATAATAGAGACGTTGGGACCAGACATTCGCAGAAAATATAGCCCAATTTATAACTAGCAGCGGCATCCCGTACTCCACCCTCAGGAGAAGCAGGAGGATAGACTTAACTAAGGAAGGAATAGCTGGCCATCTTCCTACTGGTTTTCACAACAGTTCCATGGACCTCACGTTGCTGCTGCTTGATCATTTCCACAGTGACACTATTTCCCTTTTGTCCAGTAAATATCCCACCCAAAGCTGCTGATTATTTCTAGTTCTTTGGAGAAGAAGAGATTAGAATCATTGTGTCTGATCTCATTCCAAGTGTTTTGGTCAGAACTTTGTTGGGAAAATATTTGTTACCTCAAAAGACAAATTCTATGGTGAAGCTCATTGGTTCCTCACCCCCCTGAATGTTTCATTTTTACCAAGGGCCAATGTATCACTTCATCATTTGGGGATCAACTTTCTAAGAATCTTTACACTTTGAAAAGCCATGAACCAAAAAGGATGTCTGCCATTTGCCTGTTCTTTTCTTTCTGGCGTCCCTTCTGTTTCCTGCGGAGCTCTCTCTTGAACTCCTATCTACCCGGCCATTCATCTGTGGGCCCCCCAAATGGCATCGATGATCTCAGATCTCCTATCAAATACAGGTTGGTAGAGGGCAGCATGTTTTCTCAAAATCATAGAGGTCGTTAGAGAACTGGGCTTCGACTCATTGGGAAACATTCGGCCTTAAGTTTCAGGAGGGCCCTGACCCAAACTTCACCACCCGAGGCCCCGACCCCCGCTTCACCACCCTCTTCACCAGCTATGCGCACACCGCGGCCCTGCCTGGAACCCTCGGATGCACGGGTCCCTGCCTCCCCGCCACTGCAGGTAGCCCGTTCCTCACCCTCGGGAGCAGCAGCCTCCTCTGCGGCCGGTTCCTCTGCGGCCTCCTCCTCTGCAGCCGGTTCCTCTGTGGCCGGTTCCTCTGCGGCCTCCTCTGCAAGCTCCTCCTCTGCGGCCTCCTCTGCGTGCTCCTCTGAGGCCTCCTCTGCGGACTCTTCTGCAGGCTCCCTGGTCATCTCAGCCTGGTCTGCTGGCACCTCAGGCTGTGGGACCGACGCGGCCTCCTGGAGCAGGCCCAGGCCCTCGCCCTCAGGGCCCATGGCCCCTACGCCCAGCCTCTCACGCACCAGCAACAGTGCGGGCTCATTTGAGCCACTGGGCGCCGCAGTGCGGGGCCTCCGCATCAGGCGGCCCCCACGCATCCCGATCAGGATGTGGTCGTTGTGATAGATGCGGCGGAGAAGGGAGTGGACCATGTCCAGAAACTCCACGCGAAAGCCTATTATGGGGTAGCGACGGGTGGCCGC